TTTGAATATTTAATGATACTAAAAGTTATTAGATAAGGACTCAAGTAGTTATTCTGCAAATTGTTTAAAAGTTTTAAAGTTTTTGGCAGTCAGATACACTGAGGATCTACACACTTTTGATCCTACGATTTTCGGGCTGGAAACCGATCGAGTTCTTATGGTGTACTTTAAATTATAATAGACTTTTGATGTTATTTATTTATAAGAATAATGATGTATCTGTATCTTCCATATCTTTAACGAAAAAAGAAAGTTAGAGAGTAAGTACGTGTATACTTTATTATGTTGTCCGATGATGTATGAGAATAGAGCGTGATTTCTGATAATGAAGACAGTTTCGAGTACAAACAACCGACAAACCCTTTTTTTCTTCACTCTAAAGAAAAAAAGAAAATTTGAAATATGTATATAGATAACGTATGGTTGACTTCGCTTATGTAGAACAAGCGTATTAATATCATCGTATAAACTTTATCGGTCTCATTATGTCAGCAAATCTGAATATAATATAATATGTAAAATTGAGCATATTTTAATATTAGTTATGTCGTCAACGCCAACCATCTCTCGAAAAGATCTTGTTAATAGTTTTTTGAGAGCGCTGAAAGATACTAATCTAGGAACATTAGACCGATTGGATGACTTCATTTTTATATCTATAGCAAAAGAATTGAACCTTAGCTGGTTAATCCAGCGACAGTGGTTGAAGAGAATATGGACAAATAATCAGAACAATCTACGAACAGATGTGATTCAGCTATATAGTGGAAACAGGCAAGTCTCCAGGGATGTTTAAATGCTTGTTAAATGTTTGGAAGTTAACTTTTCTCATCATTTATGCTTTTATAGTGACAATGTCGTGCAGATTAGTTCACAATTAGCAAATGATGCTGAGAAAGAACGACCAACATGTTGCATCTGTAATTTACGAGCTGTTTTGACTCGAAGTGATTCGAAAGCTATTTTGGATAATGAAATTGACAATAAATTACAAACAGGATATTTCCATCTAAATGATCGACAATTAGGTGTATCGTTATTAAACAAACGAATCCATAAATCTTGTTACGATAAGTTGTATTATGCATCTGCATTGAAGAGTAAACGTAGTAAGAAGAGCACCATTAAAATAAGATCCAAAAGTGATCAGGCACTACCATCATCGATCCTTGTAAAAACGCCTTTTGGTAAGGACTCAATGTACTTGTATAATAATTCAATTAGAAAATTTTTTGAAGGCTACCGACCTCTCAATAATGTGGCAGCAATATCATCTGGAAATAATCAAAGTAGTATTACCGATCACGATTATTGTTCATCTCGAAGTACTGGTGACCAACAGCACTTATCAGACTATCTCGATCAGTCTTACCTGACTAATATTGATCCTATTACACCCGTTCCAAATTATAAAATGAAGAATCAGAAAGCGGTGAAATCAACGGTACGAAAGATAATGAGCTCCATATCGTTCTTTTCAAGTACCAGAAACTCTCATGATGCTTCTGAGGATCCAGTTGGTCGAGCAGTATCGCCTCAGAATAATACTGAGTGTATTAATGCAACTGTCAAAGCTATGAATCCATCTTCGAACATAAGCGACTTAAATACAGTACAAGAAGAAACAATTGAAATTGATAGTACTGCTGTATTTACACCAAAACATTTTTGTGCAGATGCAGGAAGAACTAAATATACATTTCCATCCAGCGGTAGTATTAGTTCTTTCAACAAACTAGATACGATAATATCAGAATTAAGTGATAATGAACATTGTTCGAGTACTCCAGTAATACCAAGACGATTTTCCGAAAGGGTATCATCATTTTTTCCTTGCTGTTTTGTTGCGTACGTTTGTGTAATATCTTTTTTTGTTAGAGCCACAGCATAGCAGCAAGCATTTCGAAAACACATAACAACAATTCTTTCATTGACGATCCACCAGTGCCTAATACAAGCAACTCTAGCGGTCTTGTGATATATGAGTCACCATTCGATGAATTATGTGATTGGTTAAATGGTATTTTGAGCACTGGTACGATCGTTTCGATGATAGCTATTCAAGAAAAGTATACAGAAATTTTGAACTTTCGAAACAAGACAATAACTGAATCAATTGTACGATCTTTATATATTCGTAAACGTCTAGAAAATCGTTTTCCCAATCTACTTCATTTCGAGACGCCGTCTGATAAAGACGGAACGTACGTTTCTTATAATAATCTATCCTCGTATATTCAATTATCTATATCAAAATCGAAAGAATCTTCATATTCTGCCGTAAAAAACAGTAGTTGTAATGAAAAGCCTTGTGATCAAAAAGACTCAGAATCTCTATTCGATGGAATACGCATTATTCGAGATTACATAACCATCGGTCATCATACCTTAAAAACATTTGGTAACAAGACTGAAAAATTAACTTCATTCACGGTCGATGATTTCTGGACGTGTGTACCACTATTGCTGAGAAATGTTATCGGATTAATGACATTGAATGACGCCGATTTTCAAAAAGTCCAACGCAATTATGGTTATTATAATTTATTTTCAACTGATCTATTTGAGCAGTCTTCGAAATGGTTGAAAATTTGTTCTATAGCTTACGACATTATGAATTATAAAAATGATAGATTCTTATCTCCAAAACATTACATGTTAGCAAATGAATTATTGCTACACGATCGATCGGCTGATCTGATATCAATTTTCAATCGATATGGCCATACATGTTCGTATCAAACCATTACTAAATTGCATCAGGACGCTGCAAAAAGAGAAGGCGATGGTTATCAACTTCCTAAGTCCGTTCGATCTAACTGTTTTGTAGTCAAATGTGTTGATAATTTTGACATGAATCGGGATACAGTTCACGGAACTGGAAGTTTTCACATTATGAATCAGATTATAATTCAGAATCCCGACAATATCATTGACGTATTGCCAAACACGAATCAAAATATTATTACAAATGTAGCCTCTAACGATCTTGATGAATCTTTCACGATGGATATAAGAAACACAAGTTCCAATAACAATGACTTTTTAAATGGTGATACACTACATCAAATTGTTTTTTCTATTATACTTTGAGTCTGCATTTTCTTTAGCGGTTTTGAGCATATGTCTGCAACGAATAATTATTCCTGCATTTACTATATCATCTTTTTTAACTATTTTTATTTTTCTTGTTTTTGTTGTAGTTTCTATTATGAGTGATGGCGAACTAAAGAATTCTTCTTCTAAACCAATACTCATCAAGCCATCGACTATTGATTCTACATTGATCATTAATGCTTCACCATCGAGATCTTTTATAAACTCAACTGTTGCAACGACACCAACAATATCCTCGATCAATAGTGCTACAACCTATATTCCATTCCAAGATAATTCTCTTGCTTTGCCATTGTTAGCTTATGGTTTAACTAAATATTATTGCTCAGTTGTGAATTGTGACATGCCATTATTGACTGGTTTTTTCGCTACGCATTTACAAACAAAACAAAGACCATCACATGTTGTATCATTCTGCTCGCCGATCAATGATGATCCGAGCAGTCTAACTTGTGCAGAAGTATGTCTTAAAATGACAAAATGTTCGATTATCGACAGAAAGCTCCAACCAGAGGCGGTATTAGTTGCCGATGAGAAAATATACAGCAACTGTGTCAAGGTAAACTTTATCGGGTTAGTTATCTTTGCATATTAAAATGTTCTTGCTTTTGCTCATGTAGGTCAAGGATAGTGGT